GGATGGGTTATTTAAAAAATAATAAATTATTAAATTATTAAAATAAATAATGAATTATATGAATTATATTTGAATTCTAAACTCTTAAAATAATTTATTATTATTGAATTTTTTTTATTTTATGTATTTTAATAATTAAAAATATAATATTTAAAATTTTAATAATAATAATTAATAAATTAATTATATATATAAAAAAATTTTCAAATCCCAGGGGGCCACCGCCCTCTGGTCCCCAAGTGACTCCGCCACTGGTTAAGACTAAGAGTGAGGAAAGGCATACAAACCGAATCTTCTGCCCTTCTGCCCCGAATATTCTGCTCTCTACTGTTGCTATTTCTGCATAAATCACCGGGAGCACAAGCTGGAAATTTCTGAAAATTTTGTCCCTTTTGTGCGGCTGTTACAGAGAAGAAATACAAGAGGTTTTCTGTGGTTTTGAGAAGAGAGAGTGGCTGTTTGGTGGTGATCGGTGAAGATGATGAGATCAGAGGTGATCAGCAACAATGGCGGTGAGATCCAGGTCAAGAGGCCGGAGAGAGGTGGACGGTTGGAGAAAAGAAGACTCTTAGGCTTTTCTTTCGTGGCTGCCCACCTTTTTTTATCCGATTCTCTCCTTGTTTTTATGTGGCAATGTGGCAAGGGCTTTCTTTAAAAATGGAGGGGGCTTGGGCCAATTTGTACATGGACCGGATTATTGTATGATTTTGAATTGGGAATTGATGTAATTAGGTCCAAATAGAAAAATGTTTTCTCTTTTTCTTACATTTGATTTTCTCTAAAAATTTTTCATATATATTTGATTTTTTCATATATATTTGATTTTGTCATTTTTCTTCAAAATTTTAACTTAAATATCATTCATTTTCACTATCGAGTCAGAAATATAAAAAATAAGATTGATTAAAATAATTTTAAGGTAAAATTTAATTTATTTATTATGTAATTAAAAAAATATTTATTTTTAAATTTTTTTTTTTTTGAGTTATGACAATATATAGGACAAATATAAGCCAAGATAATTGAATCTTGCACGGCTGAGTTGAGCAGGGCCTTCTCCAGTGGAGTTTTTGGTAGTTGGCACAGGAAAACAAAACTGAGGAGAGTGGAATCAAGAGAACTAAGAGGAGGAGAATAAGTTTCTCAGGAACTAACACGACAAGTACTACACAACTACTCAATTGTCCCAGAATAACAGTCTTATATTAAACCAAATTTGGTTTTAAATTAACTGTGTCTTTTTCATTTTCTAAGGCTTTCTTTTATGTTTTTCCCTGCCTTCTCCAGTGGAGTTTTTGGTAATTGGCACAAGAAAACAAAACTGAGGAGAGTGGAATCAAGAGAACTAAGAGGAGGAGAATAAGTGTCTCAGGAACTAACACGACAAGTACTATACACAACTACTCAATTGTCCCACAATAACTGTTTTATATTAAACCAAATTTGGTTTTAAATTAACTGTGTCTTTTTCATTTTCTAAGGCTTTCTTTTATGTTTTTCCCTGCCTTCTCCAGTGGAGTTTTTGGTAATTGGCACAAGAAAACAAAACTGAGGAGAGTGGAATCAAGAGAACTAAGAGGAGGAGAATAAGTGTCTCAGGAACTAACACGACAAGTACTACACAACTACTCAATTGTCCCACAATAACAGTCTTATATTAAACCAAATTTGGTTTTAAATTAACTGTCTCTTTTTTATTTTCTAAGGCTTTCTTTTATGTTTTTAAAGTGTATTAATTTTGTTTCTTCATTTTATCTCTATGGTTAAAGTTCACTTTTTATAGTCTTAACAATAAAGAAAAGTATTGTGCAGTACAAATTGTATTGTATACATAATATTAATTGTTGAATATAGATTGGGCCCTTTGATATTAATCATCTCTACTATCCAGTAGTTTTTATTTTATAGTCTGACGCAGTTTAGACTGTAAAAATAGGGTTCCCTAGCAACAATTAAAGGTGGAATTGGAAAAAATATAAATTAATCACAAAATAATTCAAATTTTAAATCTATATGCATGAAAAAATACTCAATATTAATTTTGAATTTTGAGTTTGAGTCACATCTTATATGACATAGAAGTAAAGTGAGTTATAAAATAGAAGATGATTATTTTTATTATGTAACTCAAAATAATATATATATATATATATATATATATGCATGAAAAATTAGGACAATTATTGTTAGAGGGATGGAATACTTTTTGCCGGCCTGTTTATGTCACCATGCGGCTTTCGGCCGAACCAAGATTCCTTCAAGTATGAATTCATCACAAGCCGAAACAGACCAAAATAGGAAATTGTTTTGCTTTGCATTGATATCCACTAATTTTACCAAATTCCTATTGAAATTGTTAATATGTGAACACAATAATTGATAATCAAGTAAATATTTTATACATTAAAATATTCTCTTTGAAAATATCTATATATGGGTTATTGTACATACAATATTATTCAAAAAGTAATAATTCTTTCTTCAAATATTTCTTCTTATTTTTTATTTCTAACATAGTATTAGAGTTAGAAGCTCCTAGGTCTTCTCTTTTATTATCATTGTTTTGTTTTTGAGTTGGATTTTCAAATCTATTCTGAATCTGAAACTTTGTTGTTGGATTTCTTCTCTTGCAAATTAGATTTTTTATTGTCAACTCTCAAGCCCTTTTAAGGTATTTTGTTGAATTATTATTTCGATCTTGGCATCTATTTCTTCATACTTTTACAGATTTTTTTAGTATTGTGAATTCTATTGATTTTATGGCAAGTTTTGAAAAAACTATGATTCATCCTGTTACTCCTATGATCGCCAAAAAAGTGATAGATCAACCTACTATCAACCTTGAATCTCTAAAATTAGTGATATTAAATCTTTTTAATGCTTTTACTACCTTGTCTATTACTCTAGGTACTAAACCTTAGTATTTTGATTCTAGTTGTTGTAATCACATGTCTTCAACTACAGTTCATTTATCTTTAAGGTTACCAAATAATTCATTTCTTGACATTTATTCTGTTGATAGCTCCCCTATGAATGTTAGTCATATTGACAATATTTTTACAAATTCATTGGCTTTACCAAATGCTCTCTTGGTTCTAAAACTTAATTATAATGTTTTATCTATTGGTCAATTATGTGATCTTGGTCTTGAAGTAACATTTTTTTGTCATGGTTCTTGTGTGCAAGACCCACAGACAGAACAACTTTTTGGAGTTTGGTCACAAGGTGGGGCATATGTTTGAGCTCAACCATTTGCATATTCCTCATCATAAAATGGATACACCATCATTTCCAAATGATCGATTCATTCAAACCCTGCTTTGTGCTATTAAATTAGAGTTTTTGCAAATTCCATATCAACAAATCTTCCAAGCTTGTGCTGCTACTAATATTTCTCCTCTTCGTTTGTGGCATTCACGGCTCGAACACACTTTAGTTGATAAACTTTATCCTCTTATCTCTTATGGTTTATTAGGATTTATTTTGAATGAATCCTTGCATTGTGTGTCATATCAATATGAAAAACAACTAGCTTTAGCTTTTTTGAGTAGTCATTCTCTTTTTTGCTGTTTCTTTTGATCTTGTGCATTCTGATGTTTAGTATCATCTTTGACATCCACCATGGGGGGTTCTAAATACTTTGTGTTATTTATTGATTATCATTGTTGAGCTGAATTTATATATATTAATATGAAATCTTTGCCTTAATATTATTGATATTTGGATAAGTTTTATGAGATTTTACTTGATTTTAAATAATTTTCATTCTTTTTGTAGGAAATGACTTAATTAGAAGAAATCATAATTTTTAGGAGTAAATTGCAGAGATAAAAAATATGAGGATTAACTTGCACAGCATCCAAAAGCTAGAGACCAGAACCATCATTTTACCACTAACAGAAATTGTTTAGAAGGCCAATAACCTGACATGGAGTTTTTATTCGGCGCTTGACTAAAGATGTTGGCACGTTATTAAGGGTGTTTACGCAATTTTAGCAAGTCTGTGGCTGTGCCCATTATTTTAGTGTGGGTCTCACTTCTATTATAGTTTGATTTTCTAAAATCTTATAAATACTTATTTAAGTTTATAATTAAAAGGAGAGCTTTTGGAGGCTAGTGATAGTCTTCTTTTGTGCACTCTTAGAGGCTACGATAAATGATTCATCAACAATAAAAAATAAAATATTTCAATTTTTTCAAATCGAGTTTTTTTTTTCTTAGATTATTTTTATTTATTGTTTGATATTTTTATATTCATAACTATGATTTCAAATTTCATTACTTTTATTAAGAACTAATTTAGTCTATTAAGGTTACGATGTATCATAATCAATTTAGTATAGTTTTTGTGATTTTTATACTTTCAATTAAAAGTATTTGTATAATGAGTTTATGTTATTGAATTTAATGTGTTGAAAGCCTGATCACCTTTCAATTGAGTGGTTTATGTATGAACTTGAGAAAGAATTACATAAATTAGATTAATAAGAATATAAACCATATGTTAGATTATAAGACCAAAAGATAATTATTGTCACATGTGATAGTGGAGGAAGAGAAGAGAGTTAAGAGCTCTCCTTCTTAAGTTAGAGGTTTCTATAAAATTTAATGATCACCAATTTGTTTAAAATTATATAGAGATGTGATTAATTTGACAACAAGTGAAAAATTAACTTGACTTGAGAAAGTTAGTTAATTAATTTAGGGAATTCCACTATTACATACAATAACACTCAACAAACTGGTCTTGGAAGCATATTAATCTAGAATTTATATTGATTGATTATTGTGAAGTCAATGCCTTAGTACCTCATATATTGGTTAGCTTCATTTTCAATGTTATTTTTTTATTATTTTTAATTAAAATTTCTTCATTTTCGATTGTTCAAATAAATTTAGATTAATTATTTATATACTTAATTAATCACAATCCTTGTGGGTTCCACACTCTACTTATTATTATATTTCTTAAAGCAACTAGTACACTTGTTAGAGTGATTTTAGTACATCAAGTTTTTAGCATCATTGCCAGAGATTGTTGAATTTAATTAATATCAAAACTTATTAATTCTAGATTTAATTTGAACGTTTTCTTTTCTTTTATTTCTTTACTTTGATTTTTTTTTCTTTCTTTTGTTTTTGTTTTTGTAGGTCTAATAATGGATCAAGTTGTCATAGACACTAATATGAATTATCAATGTCTTGCTCCAGAGTTAATGGCACAAGTTGAAGCAATAATTATCAATTGGGAAGTAGAACTTGATGATGATGGACTGAAACGATTTCAAGCAGTAATTAAAAAGTTCAAATTAAAGAAGGCTATAATACAACAACTTAATATTACTTGTCAATGGTGTGAATTAGAGCATTATAATTCTGATTGCTATTTTAAATCATCTAACAAACATGCTAATTTTTCTTGTGATTTTTATAGCCAGCAATGTAATTCTTATTCCAACACATGCAATTTTGATTGAATAAATTATCCAAACTTCTCATGGAATAATGGAGATACATTAAAGCCACAATCAAGGTTTCAAGCTCAAGACAAGGAGACATGTTTGGATAGAAATTTCGAAGTTCAATCAAGTTATTTGCTCAACTTAGTTGCTAAAAAAAAAAAAAAAAATACAAGATGAGTTATCTAGTGCAACAATGAAAAATCAAGAAGAAGAGGTAAGCACTTTACCCTTGGAGATTGAAGGACAACTTGGAGAAGTAGAAAGTATACCTACAGAAACTAAACAAGAGGATGTCCCTAAGGAAGAAGAGGAAAAAGCTCAAGTGTCATCAAAAGTACTCAATGAAGAGTCTCCATTAACCAAATCTAATTTCAATGATTATTTTGTTATTAACATGGTTAATGAGATTTTGCAAGAAAACACTTTTAAAGATCCATTTGAGATTTATCTTATTCAAACAAAGGACCCAATCAAAGGATACTTAAATTGCTTGAACACATCCTCATCTTACTTGGAATCAAAGGGGGTAACCCTAGAAGAATTGGGAAGGCATATCTCTTGACCTAAACCAAAACCACCACAGAATAGTCATTGAAGAAAATCTTATGGTGGATTCAACTTAAGGGCGAGAAACCCAAGATTTAAGAAAACGAGAGGACATGCCTTGTGACTTGATCGAAACCACCTTAAAGTGGTAGAAAGTCTAACTAATGACTATAAATTAAGCGCTTCTTGAAAGGCAACCCAAGCATAGAATTTTCTTTTTCTTTCTTTTTCTTTTATTTTAATAGTTTAGATTTTGTTAAAAAAAAATTTTCACTTTATGGCTTAGGTTAATGCATAAATTGTTGTTCTCTAATTTTAGTCAAGTCATTGAACAAAGTTTGGGGACACGATTATAGAAATTCATAGGCTTGAAGTCTCCAATTGAAAAGAACTCAAATTTTCAAGTGCAAGACCTGGGAAGTTTCTCCCTTCTTTAACTTTTATTTTACATTGAGAATAATGTTTAATTTAAGTTTAGGGGAGAGAATAACTTTCAAGTGTCCATTCTTACATTAGTTTGCATTCATATTTGCATGACATACATATTTTTTTCAATAAAAAATAAATAAAAAGAAAATAAAACCTAACTCACTGTCATTGGAATCATGATTGCATTTAGCATATGCAACAAGCCTTTAAAGCCTTAAAGCCTTAGGTCACCCTAGTGGACAAGTTGTGTCTCGTGAGGGTTTTCAACAAATCTACCCACAAAATCCCAATGCAAGAATGCAACGATATGATATGCATGCAAACAAAATTTAGGAATTAAAGTTCAATTAGATACAAAATCTCAAATATTCAAGAGTTTTCATACACTCACTTAAAGTCAAATACTCCATCCTAGTCTTCACACCACTTCTCGAAAGATTTAGCTAATGAACACTTTGTGTATGTGAAAATTCATAGTAAGAAATCTGAAATTTAGACCTTCACACTTTAGCACTTACTATTTTTTTTTTTTCTCTTTTTTATTTGTGTAGCATTCCCTTAAGTATTCTAAGTTACCCATGTAACGAGCTTTTTGCCAATGGCTCACAAACCAGTTGGCTTTAGGGCATTAGGTGGAAAGACACCCCTAAGAACATACTTACTCAAGTAGCAAAGGCCATGAAACATTTGACTTCTCTTTTTTTTTTTTTTTTTAAGCCATACAACACATTTTTCCCAAAGCTATCACTTGTCTTTTAATACGAATACTAACATCTGTGATGAAAGCACCCAGTTACTTAACAAGTCATAAAAATTTATTTGAACAGGCATATGGAACTTAATCCTGATTGGGCTAATATTTGTTAAATATTTAGACTTAGGAGTAAACCCAACCTTTATGAGCTAAGTACCATTGGAGCATGTAAAATATTCTAGGCATTGACTAGACTAATAGAACAATTGCACCAACACAGGGGTCCCTTTCTAGCAAAATATATAGTTTCTAAAGCACCGTGAAACATTCTTAATTAACTATTACATGTCCTTGTTTTGATTTAATGACTTCAAAGCACACCCACTTGGATGAGAAATCTTCTTTGTCATGGATCTGTGACTTTAGACCTTAATTCCTAGAATGGATAATCTTTATGTACCATGTTATTGAGGCATTACCAATGCATTAAAACTCTATTAACAACTAGAATAATGAAATTACCAGTGGCATTTCATTTGACCGGATGGTTCAATTTTTGTTTCTGAATTGTTAGTTAGCTATTGATATCTAAAGACTTTAACCACATTAACCGCTTTCCTTGGTATATATGGAGAAATATCCAATATACCAATCTATTTTTAGTGAATCATAAATATATTTGAAAGTTGGACTCTATGCATTTCTTCCTTGTGTTAGTTGTTAAGTTGTTAGCTGACCATGATTTCACTTAGGTTGGAGGTGTTCACAACTTAACATGCTCCATTGTTTGAACCTAAAAAGCATTCCTTTTGCAGATTGTAATGCTGATCCTCATTCTCATATTTGCCAGTGTCCGCAGTGGCTTGGCTAGTCTTCGAGAAACAGGTGAAAAACTAGTTGGAAAACGTGCATATCGTGTTTTGTTTGCTGCTGTGTCCCTTCCATTGTCTCTTAGCACTATTGTAAGTACCCAATGTTGTTTATAAGGGCATTAATCCTTTTAACATAAGCTCCATTTATTCTTTTTAAACTTTATTTTACAGTTTTTTCCTTTGAAAAATATGTTGTGGGCTTTCATCACAACTAGCTGATTTTGCTAGTGCTTGCAATCCAGCTGTACTTCATCAACCACAGATATGATGGGCTGCAGTTATGGCAGCTTCAGAACACTCCTGGAGTTCATCAATTTGTGTGGCTTGCAAATTTTATTCCCTTCCTTTTCCTGTATCCTTCCACATTTAATCTATTAAAGGTAGCAGCTGTTGACAAGCTTAAACTGCATCTTTGGGAAACTGGGATCATCAGAATTACCAGGCATCCACAGGTTATTACCCCTATAATCTTGATTTCGATGTCCATTTCCATTTGTGGGTAGTCATTTGGCAAGCAATAAGTGGTTACAAGAAACTTGGGTAGTGGTATTTGGTTATAAGGAGTTGCATTAAGCCATTGCTGTTGCTTTCTGTTCAAACAAAAACATCTTATTTAGTTCTTTTGTTGTTCTTTCAGATGGTTGGACAGGTGATCTGGTGCTTGGCAGATACACTCTGGATTGGGAACACTATGGCTGTGTCAGCCTCAATTGGTTTGATCGGACATCATCTATTTGGTGTGTGGAATAGTGATAGGAGACTAGCTAAGCAACATGCGGAGGCATTTGAAGAATTAAAGAGGCGAACAAGTGTCATTCCGTTTGCAGCTATTCTTGATGGTCGTAAAATTTTGCCCAAAGATCATTACAAGGAATTTATTCGATTGCCCTACTTGACCATCACTGCATTGACCCTTGGTGCATATTTCATGCATCCACTTAGGCAGGCTGGTAGTTTTGAGCTTCATTGGTAGTGGAAGATCTGTGATGGCTTTGTTAAGATTTCAAGATTGTATATACCACGCCCTTATAGAATGCATGCCTTAAAAATGTAAGATGAGATACATCCATTTTAGCTAATGGAGATTCATATGGGTGCATCTAATCAATCATGTAGCCTAATGAATGTACAATGATGGAGATTTGGTTTGTACACGCCTTCGGGAGGAAAAAAATTTCTAATCGATTTAATGCTAAACTCTCTCCCAGAACTGATGGTGAGAAGATTAATAATAATGCCAACCTGATCAAGATGAATAATAATACCTACATTTAGAGTTGCTGACTTATCTCTCTTTGATGATGCTGGATTATAATTATAATAGTAGGTTTTTTAGTTCTTTAACATCATAAAAATAAACAAATATTCTTAATATTTATTTTATGTAATATTTTATATATTTTTAAAATAAGAAAAGACATAAAAAGTAAAAATTAAAATATTGAGAAGCATTTTCAAATAAAATCAAAGAAAATGAGGGTAGACCTTCAATATCTTAAGGACAAGTTTCCTTCAATTAGTGGTGAATGTTAAATGTACACCTATAACATAAGTAGATGAAAAATATCAATAAAAATACTGTAATTATAATATTATATAACATTATAAATTCATAACATAATCACCTATGCCACCATTAATTGTTGTGAACCTGTCTTTCTTATATACCAGCCTTTTCTAATCAGCTTCTTCCTCGTTTTGTCTGCAATAGTGGCCCAGCATTTTCTAGTTCATTCACATTTTTTTACTTATGAATATCTTACAAAGCAAAATTATGAATACATCTATTAGCCTGCCATTTTCGATCAACACATTTTGCTTTGGGAATTTGGACAGCAGGTAGGAAGCAGCTAGCTTCACTATATCATATTTGATCATACATACGACACCAATCTGATCTCGTCTCTAGGATTTCACTCTCTCACCATTATTTTTGGAATTGGTTTCCATTTTTGACTGAGTGGATAACTTCGCAATCAAACTTCATTAATATTTTTACCTGTGGCTTTGACACTGATAAACATGGTACCACGAGAGCGTCTGTCACCCTTTTCTAATAAGTTTACAAACAAAAACATAAAATCAACCCTGTTGATGATGAAAACGGAAATTAAGAAACATCCAAAAACCTATTTCTTAATATACAAACCACAAATAGAAACAGTCCATATTAAGCAAAAACTTAGCTAGTTCAGAATCCTATCACATCTACTCTGCACAAGACCCATTGACAATATTCCCAGCCTTTGGATCAGCCTTAGGCTTTCTTGGCCTGTATCACACTGCACAAACAAGATATATCGCAAAATTGATGATCCCCAATATAGCTAGAAGTCCATAGAAACAGTAAAGCCTTCCATGGTTTATGTTGTCCACCAGCCACCCTTGGCCGTCCCTGCCTTCAGTCACCTTCTTCACCACCACTACCAAGAAACTGCTGACAAAGAAACCCAAGGACAGAGTGGTGAGGAAGAGGCCAGTGCTCATGGTTTTCACTCCTTTGGGAGACTGAGTGATGAAGAAATCAAGCTGGGCTGTGTATGTGAATGCCTCACCAGACCCAACCAAGAAGTGATGTGGAATCAGCCAGAAAACAGATATGGGTAAGGTTGGTGTGGAGGACGTTCTTGCTACTGATGACCTTTTCCCCTCTGTCAGTGCTGCTGCTGCCATTCCCAAAACTGATAGGACTAAGCCTATGGCCATCTTTTGTAGATTGGTGAAACCTATTCCAAAGTTTGAGTGTCATAATTCAGTTCTGGTATTTGGAGTCCATAATGCTATATGTAAATAAATGTATGCATACCAATTTATGCTTGGCCCTAAATAAAAAGAATTAAACACAAAACATCATGTTATACTGCACAAAATACTGTATGTGTAGCATTTTCGATTTGGAGTAGAACTAATGCAAGACATGCAAATATTATGATGTTTATACCTGGTTTTCCTTTCCATTTCTTCCAAAGGGGCGTAATGAGCTGGTTATAGACAGCCAGAGTGATCATTATTGCTGCCACGAAGAAGACGGTGAGAGCCAGTGGGAATTTGGAAATTCCCAATTGATCTTTCCATGGTGGAGGCTTGCTCAACTGAGAAAGTTCTCATATGTTCATAGGTTGTCCAAAATATGAACGTGGTGGCCCATGTTGGCAGCAATCCAATCATCATTTTCACTTCCTCTACTCTGGTAGCCGAACATAGTTTCTAAGGGTTGGGAGTGGAACCAGCAGCTCCATTAAAATCTCCTTCAGCAACAAGGGCTACCTTGTCCAAAAATCTTTAAATAAAAAAATGTTAATTTGGGACTCAATATTAAACAATGGATAAGATAATAATAATTATTAATTATTGAATATTAATTATCAACTATCAACTATTTCTAACAGTAAAACGGACAGGGCCTAAATATGTAAGAAGCTCACCAGAGTTGATCTGTGTGTTGAATTCTTGAAACTTCATTACAATCCTCATACAATAGGTCAGCATTAAAAGGGAGGTCTATCTTCCTCTTCCTTATAGCAGTGACAACAACCTGGAAAATATGAACAATGGGGCTTCCCACACTTTTCTTGTATCTTTCTCTTTTGCTTCTGGAAAAAGATATCAATATGGCCAAAACCATGGAGACAGAGCAAATCCCATATGCCCAGCTTCGACCTACTTCATCTAAAACATGAACTTTATGTTTTACACCCCACTCTAAAACATGAATTTTAAATGAGAAAGCATAGCCCCATATTAAGAGACTCACCTTGTTCAATCATTTAAATTGTACAATTTAGACATAACACTTTTTCCACAATATAACAATTTCAAACATAATATAATTCAATTATAATTACTAACTTAAAAAATAAAATAAAATAAAATAAAAATTAAAAAACGAAATACTTAAAAGAGCAACCTCACCTGGGCTATCAGCCCATTGGTTGTGCAGGAGCACCACCACCATAATTCCCCACAAATTGCAAAGCAGAAAAAAAGAGAGAAAAAGAAAAAGAAACCACGTCACATCAACATCCTTAACTAGGATCAGATGATAATTCCATCATAAATCCTCTACAATACAAATTAACCACAAAAGCCAACTGAATCATCAGAAAAACTTAAATGTAACATAAAGACAACTTGAAATGGACTATTTTTAGTATTTTCCCTGTAAACTAGTAGTATGGAATTATGGAGGGACTGTTTACTCTTTAGTCTCTTTTGAGCCCCTATAACAAGATTAGGTCAGGATGGTCACTCCATGATTAAAATGTAAAAACACCCTCCATAAGGCTGAATTTATCAAATTAAAGAAAACAAATTAAACAAGCTCAAGCAAGAGTTTATAAAGCATCATTCAAAACTGAGTTCTAGTAAAATAGGGATTCAAGGATTTTCTTTCTCAGCTTGCAAACTAAACCAACATGACAAAATAACAGTAATAAACATCAAACATTAAGCTTGGCTAGTAGCACAACTTTATCAGTCAAAGCCTAAAGGAGCGGCCACCACAATCCAAGAGGCCTATCACACCGAGTACCAAGTTCCACAAAGCTTTTAGATCATGAGCTTCTCAATGGCATCCTGCATCACAGTATCACACAAAGAAAGAGTCTAAGATATAGAATCGAATTGAAGATAACTGAAAGTTTAAAAAGCATAAAATCCATATAACAAACAAAAGAGAAAGGAAAGTACCTTGAGTTGTTGTATTTGAGATTTCATCTGGCTTCCTTCGTTTGTAGTCACAGAACAAGCAATTACAGGCCTAGTGACACCACATGCTCGGCCAAGTGCTTGCTTTGATGGGACAAATACATAGGGCACATTCTGCAAAAGTTGGAATATGAAGGTCAACTATGTGATTACTTGATTAGTGTAAACCACTTGAAAAAGCCATGGGAAAAAGAAAAATAGAAAATTTAGCTTTTGTATTACTATATTAGGGTAAATTATTACCCATCTTGATTTTTGAAGGATGATCCAATTTCAAGGTATCAAATCTAAGACAGTCCTTAAATTACAAGTGCAGACATCATACTTCCCTAGATCAACTAACACTTAGAACAATAACAAGGACTAACATATATCAAGATCGACAAAGTCACAGACTTCCTTCTAATTTAGACTTATATGATGTGAATACGGGACTAATAAAACTGAACTCAGTGACAGTAAGAGCAGAAAATGGTTAGTAAATGGGTACTACTGCAAAACTGAAGAAAAAGAAAACACAAACGGGAATGGAAGCAGGATCTGAGCATATGAATTATTTACCAAAAATTATGCTGAAACCATAAGCTGGATTAGGCTGATGACATTTAATTTGTAGATCCCTAAATTATAACTATCCTCCCAAAACAATTTTGGCATCACAAGCAACATATGGGAACAAAACTTGTTACACAAAAGGAACAACTATAATCATTAAACAAACTCACGTATTGTAATCACCTTATCCTCCGCAAGCAGAGGGAGATGTAACAAAATCTCAAGAGGCTCCGTATCTGCAGCCATCACAATAAACTCAGAAATCCCCCTGTTTAAGGTCTTGGTTGCTGAAACCCAACAAGCAAAAATAGAAAACCAGTATCAGTAAGCAAGCAGAATTCAAGCATGGAGGCTTTTCCTAATAACAATAATAGACAACCAAATAGTACTCATCCATCGAAAACATATGAACAAGCAAATGGGTACGCTACAAACCTTCATTGGCACCCTTTTTAAGCTGCTTATAGTTGGCAGCCTGTTGAACAAGATCCAGAATCGTCATTGTCAGCTGCGCATCAGCAAGAGGGTACGCCTTCGGGTTCACGGCTTCTTGAGTCTGAAAACAAAACCAACATCAGTACTTAAATCGTTAATACAGAATGCACCGATCAATCAATAATTTACAATAATGGATAAAGAAAGGAGATTAGAAGGAAAAGGAACCATTTTCGTTGATAAGACAGAGGCGGAGGCGGGCGAGCTGCCTAGGGTTTTTCTGCAGATAAGGGAAGGGAGGCCTCCAAATTAGGGTTTAAGTCTTTAAGAGGAGAAAGTCCAGAATATCACGGTATAAGTCCAGCATATCACGGGTATACCACGTCAATGGTATCCCGTACCAATAAAAATACAACACGTCACTTTACATTAACATGTCAGGTTGCTGATTCATCATAGAACGAGATGTAATAGCTAAGGGCTGTTTGCCCGGCTCGTTTCTCTGAATTTCGCATTACCCGGTTACAATTCAACCCGAGTTTCCAAATGCCCGTATGTCAGATACAAAATTACCCGATTTCTTGCCGGATTCTGGTCCGATTTCAGCCCGTACCAGCACCTGAGGGCTGAGACTTTCGCTGCTGGCACTAAACCAAACCAAACGTCCTCTTCTAACGTGGGCTTCCCCAATGTCTTCATGCCAGCACAGCACATCGCGAAGCTTCCACGAAATTCCCTTTAATGGAGCTTCGGTGGCTAATCTGATCTGGGGGAGACGAACAAATTATCTCCCTTTGTCTTCTGATTGGAGAAGAAAAGACGATTTGAAAGTCTTATTAAGTTTCATGACATAAGCCTCTATCAATACCAAGTCAAGAGTAAGGAATTCAGTTTTTTTTTTTTGTAAGATTTTAATTTTTAATTTTATTTTAAAAAATAACTGTAAGAGAGGATTTTTTTTTAATAAATTTGATATAATTTAATTTTAAATTAATTAAAATTTAATATAATTACTAACTATTGAGAGATAATATCCAAACAAAATATTAACATTTCTCGTGCCGTGTTTGATAGAGGCCCCGCAAATTTTAATTTGAGTTTCCGATTATAACCGAAAATGCAAAATTACGATCCGAAGATAGTTGTATTTATTAGTTGATAATTGATATCAAGTTGAAGGTTCTTTTTTGTATTCTCAATAGAGACTTGACAAAATTAGTTCTTACTTTACTGGAAAATTTAACCTAATGGGAGAGTTATGGGCCAAAAGTATTAGCATAAGGCAGATTAAAATTATTTAAATTTGATTGGGTGAAGTTAATCTAAAATAATCTAACAAAAATTGAAAGATTTAAAAAAAAAATTATTTCTCATTTTATAATTTATCATTTAATGTATTAAAAAAATTTCATATTGATTAATTATTTAATTGAAAATTCTAATAAATCAATCTTAAATCTAATAATCTAATAAATAATAATTATTTTAAACTTAAATTTTATTTTTTATTTAAAAATTAAAATTAAAAATATATTTAATTAATATTCTAAATTCGAAAAATAAATTAATAAAGAAAAACAAAAAATATTAAAAATATTATTTTAATTTTTAATTTTAATAAAAATTTGAGTCTATCAAAACCTAATGACTTATAGGTCTATCCTTTTCTCCACAACTTAAATGGCTTAAATCAATAAACTGAGACCTAGGTTTTTCTCAAGGTGAACTAAAATTTTAACAAGTTCAAAGTCATGCTCGAACTGAAACTTGCTTAAACGTGTTTGAACTCAAATTGGGTAGCTCATCAAGTCATAATTTGGTTGGTCAAAATATTTTTCCTCCCTCTTTTTTCTTTTTTCCTTAAATTAAATATATATGAGAAAAGTTATAAATAAAGAAACTAACTTTACACTTTTTCTATTTAAAAATTTTAATTTTATTAGTTTTTATCAATTTTTAATTTTTTCTATTTAATAATATCAATTTTTAATTTTTCTATTTAATGATTAATTAAATGGTGATGTTGACATGATAAATAGATTTTTTAACCAGAATATATATATTTTTATCTTGTTGTACAATGGGAAGTAATTATCTCCTATCCCTTATTCCATCCCACCCCACCCCACTCCACCCCATTCGCATGCCATGTGACTCGAATTCAGGATCTTTTACTTCTAGCGGAAGAAGATAATCACTGAATTATTTTAATTGTTGACTTTAACCAGAATATTAATAGTTGGCATATTAAATAAGAAAATTAAAAATTAATATTTTTATTTAAAAACTGATAAAGTTAGCATTTTTATATAAAAGAAGAATAAAGTTGACATCCTTATTTGTATTTTTTCTCAAACATACACTTTATCTTTTTCTTTTTTCATAAGATAATATAGGTAAAAATATAAATTATCTTTAAATTTTTAAATTAAAAAGAAAAAAAAATTAACTTTTATTCTAGGACAACGTAGTAGTATCATACTATATATTTATAATTGGCTTAATTTAACAAATCGTCTACTAACTTTCATATTTTTCTTCAATTTCATCTGTTATCTTTGGATTCTTCCATTTTTGTTTATTATCTTCCAGATTTATTTCAATTTCGCCTAGTATGTTATCTTTGACGGTCTATTAGAGAACAGTAAGTCCTCTAATTATATTTGTTTTGATCTTTTGTCCTCCAAATTTATCTTTGCGGTAAAAACAGCTTTTATATTTAAAATTATTGTTTCTTGGCTCTGATACCAGATTTTTCTATGGGTTTTCAGAACTTAACTCAGACTACTACTGGCTAATGAATACTTGGTATGTTAAGCTCAGTTAGTGTGGAATTAGTTTTACTAGACTGCTAACAAAGATAATCTTTGCTTTGCCTTTTTTAATCTTTTTAGATATTCATTTAAATTTGCAACTATTTGCTTCAACTTCTTGAGATTTTTAGATAGATGATAATCATCTTCAACATTACTTATTTTTTCTAAAATTTTTACTATTTTATTCCTATAATATTCGCATTGTTGCTTATAAACTATCTTATCTATAATAATTTCTTGAACAAAATCAAGCATCTTAAATTATAATGGTTTAATATAAACTGGATTTTTCTATTCAAAATATAAGAGGTCAGGTACTATTTCCCCATCATTTCTCATCTCAAAAATAATCTAATGTTAAAGAATAATAAAGTTGTTTCTATGCCCACCTTGCTTTCGCATGATAAAATAAATGAGTTAGAATTTTACTTGAAAATCCTTTGGACTAGCCTTCAGTCAAGCAAATGCTTCCTTCGTCCAACCCTTAATGCCAAACTCAGGTTAAAATGTGTATCCGGATAGGACAAGTGACTTCACTGCTACCCTAGTTTCTTTACGATTCTTCTCATTTTATTTTATGATAGAAATAAGGAAGGATAGAAACATAAGAATTATTCTAAAACATAGTTTTATTTTTGAGAAAAGAAAGGGAAGTTCCCTTTCCTTTTGAAGGGTGTTTATAGATGCATAGTAGAAGGCTTTCAGGTAAGGTTTTTGGATATTCAAATGCCAGATACCTGTTACAGCTTATAGGAGGCTTTTTATAGCATTCCTTAGAATCTTTTCCTTTGTCATTGCTGACGATTAAAGTTTACATTATTGTCTGGTGATCCAAACTTACTTCTTGCTTTTACTAAAGTAGATTACATGGAATCTTGTAGATGCTCTTCTTTTTCTTTAGTGATGTAAGCGCTTACGTCTTTTTGCATTGGATTCTTCAAAGGATGATGAGATCCTTTTCACTATCTGAGGGGGTGGTCCTTTCGTCACAGGGGGCTTCAGCTTTTCCTTTTGCAAATTCTTTTTTGTAGCAAAAACCACAATGACTGTCATGCTTTAACAACTTGCATAGTCTATTATGGATTGCTTTACTGGTTGGGACTAGATTTTCAAAAATTTCCTTTCTTTTCTGCTTTATTTTGAGCAGGCTGATGCTTGTCATTAATTTGGCACCAGTGGATACCACCAAGATTTCTTTGGAAAAGCCATATGTCCATGTCTTCCTCATTTCTATCATTCTATCAAAGGTCTAGAGTAAAACCTTGAATCCTAGAGCTCGTCTCTCTTGGATGAGCTCAATCCCACAAATAGACTCTTCAAAGTCTTGAAAAATTTGATCTTCATTCGCTTTTACCTTGATCTTCTTAGACTGGATTCCAATTTGAACTATATGATGACTAGGGAGATATTAATATTTCTCCCATTTTGGAGTTGCAAAGTAAATTTTGACAAATACTACCCCTTGAACTTTGGTGCTAGTTTTGAAGTCTTTTACTCCTTGGCGTATAACTTCTAAAAGTTCTGAAACTTCTTCATTATCCTTTGAGAGATAAATATAGTTTACAAAACTGTAATTGAATAACTCTTTTATTGCTTTTAGGTTTGCACTGTGCATGAAATTAATTCAGGGATAAATCCCTTCATGGATAGGATGGCAATTCTCAATGGACCTCATTGAATGCCATTTTACAAACTCTGCGGTATTCTTGTACATATTTTTCACTCATTGTCATTTTTGACAAGGTGTCTATTATTGCAACTTTCTTTTCTTTTCTTTCTTTCTTGAGTAATTAGGTCGAAAGTTATGGCTTTTGGCATTTTGAATAGCCGGCTTTTCAGCTTGAGATGCTGATATTTCTGAGGGAGAGTATTTGACATAATAATCAAACTTCCTTGAATTTCCTCCAAGTAATCCTACTAAAAGATCACCTTGTTTAAATTTTTCTTTTAGCTCTTGTTGGGAGCTTTTCTTTACCATCTGGCTAGATTCTTTAGAGCTAATTCCGATAGTAGTAATTACTTCGGAACTCATTAATTTTTCTATCAGCTCTTTGACCTCTTCAAGGGCATCTTGCCCTTTATTTAATAACTCAAGGCCTTTAATAATCTTTTCTTGGTCTTCATCCATAAGGTTATGGCTTTCATCAATTATTTCTTGGCCTTCAATCATTTTTTCTTGGCCTTCTCTTATTTGGCTATTGCTCTCAATGAGTATCTCTTGACCTTTGAGAATGAGGTCTTTCCCTTTATTTTGGAGTTTCAGGATTGGATCCATTAGTTCCTTTTCTGATCAAGAAATCTACAAGACAATTATTAGTTCTTTTGACATGTTCAATTTCAAAATCATATTCAGCAAAGAAAGTTTGCCATCTATTTAATCTTTTATATTCTGGTGTTAAAGGTAATTTACTAAAAATAAATCGCTTAACTTGAGTATTGTCAGTTTTGACCTTAAAATGTTTTGGTAATAAGAAGAAACTAAACTTTTTTATGCCATTTTTAATAGCCAATAACTCTTTATGATTTGAATGATATCTAGTTTCTACATCTTTAAATGTACCACTAGCATATTTACAAACTTTTTCTTGAGAATCTTTTAAAGCTGCTCCTAAATAAAAATCTGAGGCATCACATTCTAAAATTAATTCTTCATCTTCTTTAGGCAATTGTAGCCAAGGAAGGTTTTTGCAATATTCTTTTATTCTTTTCACATGATTAGTGTGATAAATTTCCCATTATCGATTTTCCTTTTTCCTAAGCAACTGTTGCAAAGGATGTCTTAATTGAGTTAGGTTTTAAATAAACTGCTCTGCATAATTGAGTATTCCTAGAAACCTTTGAATTTGTTCTTTAGATTCTAATTTATCTGGGAACATCAAAATCTTTTTGCTAATGTGAGGTTGTAATTCTATTCTCGTGGAATCTATTGTTAATCCAAGGAATTCAATTTTGG